TAGTGTATGCATCACAGGAGGCATTCACACAAACTTATGTAAACATGTTTATGGAGGATAACTTTAACTGCCAAACAAAATCTGAATGACAGATTGTGTGTTTGGGAAAAGATGAAGTGTGTTGTTTTTGTCAGTGTGTGTGTGTGTGTGTGTGTGTGTGAGACTAACCGGGAGTGTCAGGCTTCATGTCGACAGCTACAGTGGTGTGAGGGAAAAGGTTGAGAGTGTCCCGGGTTGTGCTTTGTTTGTTGAAAGTGTTTCCCTCAAAATACACGCCATGGATGTCCACCTCTGTACCTAACCCAAAGGTGTACCACCTGACTTTGTCCCCTGAACACATCTCCAGTCCAAGAAGGTTCCCATACATGCGCCCATTTACAGCTGAAATGAAAAGGAAGATATAAAAATATGAAAAAAATACAAAGACACACCTGAACCGGGTCTCAAATATAACAAAATCTGAGTTACAATCAGCGCTGATTCAATAGCTTTTCAGATAAATAGGTATGGTAATATCTATTCAGCTGATTCACCAAACAGACTATTACCATGCATCATGTTGCTCTCCTGAAAGTCCTCGTGCTCTTGATTAGTCTCACTGCTGCCAAACTTCTCAATGTTCTCATCTAAATACCAGCTCATGTTTTCATCCATGACAGAAAAAAGAAGGAAGAACTCCTTATCTACATCCTTCTGTGAGACAATAGAGAGAAAATTACAGAATCAGTAAGGCTCTTAAAGTGCTGCTAATTCGATTTTAAGGTAACATCACGCAGAATTTAAAAAGCACTTAAAAATGACACTTAAAATTTTCATCATAAATCATTTTGTCCATATCTTAGCCATCTTGTATTGTTAAAGTTCTAATAAATTTGATAATCCCCAGCAGCTTGTCAAATAAAAGGCAAGTGCTATTTTGATTTTAGCTATTTAAAAGTGTATACACTCAGAGGTTCCTTAAGGTTTTGTTTTTTTTAACATGAGAACGTGTCTGAATGCATAACCAAAGCAGCACCTGTCTGCCGCCGTCCCCAAGTGCTCCTCTCTTGCATACAAGAAGAGGTCCAACTAGTCCAGAATTGGTGTCTTTGGCAGGATCGGTGGCAGAGTAGTAGAGATAAGGGATGCAGGAAGAATCAGATGATGATGGGCCTTCCAGGACCTGCCAGGTGTAAGTAAAGTTCTCACCTGGACCAACATGGGAGCCTGGCTTTTCAACACCTGCAGTGTTGCAGACAAAGAAGTACAAACAATTTGGTTTACTTGCTGTCCGTACAGACAGCAGTCAAAATGCACTGTGATTCTCTTTTCACTATGCTTAACACCTTAATATAATAACATATGTATTAGTCAAACAATGTGCACTTTGAGCATGAACAAGTTAATGTACAGCTTTTATTTCTTACTTTGTGTGATTAATTACCTTTTTAAATTTGTAGAGATATACTCATTTATTTCTTTGCAGTAACTCTTTTTAAAGTATCAGTAATGCAAATGTATGCTTTGATTAGTCTGAACAGTTAATCATTAGTTTCAGCTTGTGTTTTTAGAGTAGCGTCCCCTAAGAATTACAGGATATCCCAGCTCCTTGACTTGCTGAGTTAACTGTGCCAGTATTATTTGTGTTTGTATCGTTGCTTCCTCACCATCCTCATAGCTGCTTCCCTGGAAGTGTTTATCATAATGAAGGCCATGAGGCTGGATGCTGTAGTTTCTATCAGCCTTATTGAGGAATGTCACTCTGAGAGTGTCACCCTCCTCTGCCCTCAGGACTGGACCTGTATGAATAGAAAAGGAACACTGTAATCAGATAAGAGAACTTGAGACTTAGTGAACTTGATGAATTTGGTTAAGTGTTTCAGGAAACATATAACAAAAGAGAAAAGGTGACTTTTATTCAGAACATGGTGAAAAAAGGGAGGACTTACCCAATAGTCCTAAATGTCCAAGATCAGCTGATTTCTCAGTAGTGAAAGTATCATCTGTGTACTCTTTGTATATCACTTTTATGTATTGACCACCGAGCCTTCCATCATCTCTGCCAAAAAACATATCTGATGGACTACAAAAGAAAGAGATGGGATAGTTGGAGGAAGAAAATGAAGCAAAAACATATAAATTAGAAGGATGTGGGTTGTAGTAAATATGTGACCTAGATGTAAAAGCGATGGGAAATGTCTTACTTGGACCTTAGTTACTTACTTAGAACAAAAATTGGTGTCAGATCATGCACCAATCTGGTGTCAGATTGGTGCATGATCATCTAGACTGTTGAATCTTTACAAGCTATTCCCAAACTTGAGAATTCTATTATCTGATTTGAAATCTTTGAAAGTCTGCCACCTGCCCGCACCTTTACACACAACTCTGATTCTCTATTAAAAGATTTCCTTTTGTCACCAAGGAGCCGTCACTACATTTCAACTCTCCATGCAAGTTATGAAAGACGACGTGCTTTTCAGTGCATAAATAAGTGTAAAAATTGATTATATATAAATTGTTTTGATACTTTCAAACTTTAGTACAAGGTTTTAAACTTTTTTCTACTTGTTGCACACAGAATCACATTGTTCACCTGCATTACTGTCATGCTCCACCTGGGGGCTGTGACCCATGCTCTGGAATTGGTCGCTCAAACCAGACCACACAACATGAATGAGCATCACATGTACTGTATAATCAGCCCCGTCCAGGGGACATGCACACAGAAAGTCAAGCCCCATTTTAGAGTTAGGAGTACTGACAGAGATAGAGAGACAAGATCAACCCATAAAGGTATCTTGAGTGTGTTTTGGGGGAAACCTGGCATGGAACTATGTTGATTTGACTGATGGTGTGTTTGGTTTAAGTCTCCTCTTGAGTTTTTTGGGCTAAATAATAAATCACCTTTTATTTTGAGATGCACGTAAACCCTTATTTAGACTGTCTTGATGCATGCTCAATCATCCAGGTAAGTAAATCCTCAAAAGTTGATTCTGTTCATCTGGATGTAGCGTTGTCCATAGAACAGAATAAACTTTTGGGGCATTATTTAGACTACATTTTGCAATATGTTGCTCACCTATCTGCTTCAGTAAGGGATACGTTGCTGATAAAATCCCTTCCTGAGGGAGCATAGTTCCATAGGACTTTCTCTGCCGCCAGGTAGTAATTCCTTACAACTCCACCTGCCAGCATGGATCCGGCCTCATTGTTACACGACTTCACTTCATAAAAGACCTGCATCCCAGCTGGAACAGCACACACACACACACACACACACATACACACACACACATGTACAAACCATAATTTAGATAAGTAAAAACTCACTGAGATGTAGACCTTTGAGCAGGGGTTCAGGCTACAGTAACTGTCTATAAAATGATAAAACTATTCCAGAGTTCATTTTAAATGTTTAACTTGCTTATCTTTTAGGAAATTGGGGTTAGTCTCAAAATCTGAGCAGATCTACAACATGTAAAGCTGTCAGTTGTGTGATTTGCAGCCTAAATAGGTTTATAAAACAGTAATGTTACTTTTTTTTCAAAGGGTCAGGAACAAGAGAGAGCCATTATAAAAGGCACAGCCTTATAAAAAGTAATTGTTCTTCACAAGAATTAGCGGTAGTCGTTGTTTGACTCTGTCAATGTTATGTTCGCTAGATTTTGGGCAGCCTGAAAATAATAACAAATAATAAAATGTCTGCTCATACCCTTCAGCTTTTAAATTCAGCTGAGTTCTAGAAAGTGTTTTACAAGTCCAGGCAGGCTCAGAGTAGAAATACTAATCTCTGCTGTGGGAATGCTCAGGCTTTGACAAAACAGCAGCACCCCCATGAAAAGGGTATTTCCTTTGTCAGCAAAGTGCTGTAGCAGAAGGTCAAAGGTGACACATAGGTTAAAGGTCAAGTATCCTACCCTGCAAGTGGTCATTAACTTGGCAGGCCAGCAGCCATTTTCCATTTGCTTTTGGGACCATCTCAGCTGTTGCGAACGTGGCTGGGAACAGGCTAAGGACGTCAGTGCGGTGACCACGGTCCAGCAGGGTATTCCCATGGAAAAATGCAGAATGAATATCTACCTCATTACCCATCCCAAACAAATGCCAGGCTACTGCACGGTGCTGACATAACTCGATTCCAGGAAGGTTACCAAACATGTACCCATTAATAGCTGTCACACAGAGAAAAACACACACAATCAGAGGACAATGAGACATTTAGCTATCAAAAACCTCTCCTACAGCCTTTGTTGTCAGAATTAGAAATGTGAAGGGAATTCACCGTGAACACATTTTAAACTATATGATGCAGATTGCTGAGTTGCATCAGCTGGTTTGGCCCGACTGAATGTGTGCAGTTAGTTCAGTATTAAATGATCCTAGAAAGACTTTAAATATCTATCTCTCACCGTGCATAAGGTTGGACTCTTTAAAGTCTGGGTCTTCTGGGTCAACTGTTTCTGGATCAAAACATCTCTGAATGTTGTTTTTCAAGTACCAACTCATGTTTTCGTCCACCACACTGAACATTAAAAAAACATCCTGGTCGACATCACTGCGGGCGGACTTTACGGCAGAGTCTCCCTCGGCTGCATTTAGTTCATTAGTCTCCTTCAAGGCTCCTGCACTCAAAGAAAAGGAGCATGCGTAATCTTTGTTTCCTTCTGGTGTCCCACTGTGTGCGATTTTCACAGCAATCCTTCGTTGGCAGTTTTTCAAGTAAAGCAATTTTCTTATGTTATTTTTACAAAGGCTGTTTCTGAATGAGACTACTGGCTTAGGATGTAGAAATACATTTGATTTAACATACAACTTGTGCATACAGAAAGCTGCATACAGCAGGCAAAACACTGTATGAAATATGAAACATACAATCAAATATATTTGCCAAATATATTTGTACCTTTCTTGCATGTGAGTAACGCCCCAATAAGTCCTGAGGCGATGTCCCTGGGGGCGTCAATATGAGAATGGTAGACCCAGGTCAAGCAGTTGGCATCATCATCTGTGGGGCCAAACTCAGGTTTGACCTCCCAGCGGTAGGTATAGCTGCCTCCTGGAGGGACACAGTCATCTTTCTTCAACTTGCTTGATGTCCCGTCTGGATAGAGTGCACCTGGTACACGAAGGGAAAATGTTTGCAAAGAGATCATTCTGTTCAGAAAGCAGCCGAGCAGAGATATTATAGTTTATAGTATCAATAAGAATTTTGTAGAAAATATTAGAAAAGATTTACAAGGATGTTATTTAAAGCAGGTTTCAAAAGTCAAGGTAATATCCATTTTCTTTGTTGTTGTTTTTTTCTACTTTCTGGTAAGCCTTTAGTTTCTATGGCAGTGTGTTTGAAAACAAAGCATAAATGAGAAGTCACGAGAACACTGATACAGTGTGAATGTCGGGACAAGGTTTAACAGAATTAACTGCTTCCTCAGTTCTCAGTATCTTAATGTGCTGACACCACTCTCATGTGATCTCATTATCTTTCTGCTCAAGTTCCAGTTTAAGCAAAAAGATGCCACTTAACGTTCCTTATGTTTAATAAAATTGCCGATTTTAAACCATGACACAAAGCATAACAATAACCATTCTCTATTTTAAGTAGGAAAGGACTGCAGCTGTAGTCTCAATTTCCACAAGGCTCTCAAGTGTACTCCGGCAAGATGTCCCCTTCACAAATTGGGGTGGGGGTGGGTGGTGTACGAACTTCTTGCATAACAGAGAGCTGTAAAGTTCAGAAAACCTAAGAGACATATCTTTATAAAACATCTGCCATAGCAGTCACTCATTTTCTGGAATTGTGGTGTGTCACTTTTTCTTCTGTTTCTACAATTTCTCATGTGTAAACTGAGTCACTCTGTGTACATTACACTTATGCCTACTTTTGTTTTAATGTTCCCCAGTGTCTTCTGGTCAAATACATTTTGTCATTGGATAATATAAAAAAAAATAGTACAATGGTGTTGATGATACTGTTTGTCCATTTAAAGGAAATGCTTTAGGAGAACAGTACCACGCCTACTTGGAACTTCATAAACAATGTTAGCTGTTTCATGTAACTGCAAGCCCTTTTGGATTTTTAAAAAGTTATATTATTCAGTTCTTATTACAAATTTTGAACACAGCAACAATCGGTATCATTCAGTATGAATAAATAACACTTTGAAACCCTCACTGACAGCTCTTTGTTCTTGTAGGTGTGCCTCTGTGTGCAAAAGCACCATGAATTTTTCTGTCTATATCCAGTAGTATGAAACATTTTACCTTCTGTATCCTTCTCATAGAAAACCCCATGGGGATGCATAGAGTAGTTCCTGGTTGCAAAGTTCTTTAAGTGGACAACAATAGTTTCATCAACCTCAGCACGCAGTATGGGTCCCAGGAAGCCCAGCCAATCAGGTCGAGGAGACAGGCGACTGTATGAAGCATCTGTATACTCTCTGAACACAGCTTTCTTGTAAACACTTCCAATTCGATGGGGCCCTCCCTGTAGGAATATTGATGCATGCCTGAGAAAGTTTGAAAAGGAAACAACAAGAATGTGAGACACACACAGTGGAGCGATTATACAGAATTATACAGAAGAGTGTGTAGGAGGCAGACAAGAAAAATACTTTTTTTCTTCTTGCATTTGTATTTGTTAGGGTCAACGTCAAGTTCCACGCTGCAACACCAACTTTCAATCAAACTTATACAAATATAGCAAAAGTAAGTGCATTGCCTTTCTACGTTTTCACAAAAAGGCTATGATAGATCTTGTAGTTTATACAATTTTGATTATTGTCTAACGGCTAGAATTTCATTGTAGACCAAACAAGAACTAGATCTTACCTGGTGTAAGAATAGATGTAAAGCCACTGAACAAATTGCATGTGGTTGCAGGTCTTTAACAATTAGACATATCATTATTTTAATAACATGTTTTGGGGAGCTAATAACAGGTTGTTGAAACTGTAGCTGATGCACTTTTGGAAGTAAGATTATCTTAAATAGATTCTCAAATGATTTTGACTGAAAACCTTGACGCCTGTCTGATTACCGCTGTTTCAGTCAGAACCCAAACAGAGCAAACTAGTGCTAACATTGCTCCAGCACTGCTTATTCGTTTCCCCTTCTCTGTCTTATAATACGACATACGGCTTTATTAATCTAATGCCATGCAAACGCATTGCAAGTTGATTTGACGCAATTCTACATTTTAAATGATGGGATACAAATGGCAGGAAGAAACATCTTAAAGCTTCTTGTGAATTCAGTTTGCCATGAAATGGGAGTGAAAAGACAATATGATATCTAACAAAGATAAACATGCCCTGCAGTGATTAAATAGCTTGAGCTTGAGACAGTTTAAGTACAGCCTGTACACTTTGAGAACGTTATTAGCAAGTCCAGAGGTTCAGTTAAATTTAGGAAAGTCATGTATTGTGTAAGAATGAAGCAATTCCCTTATGCTTCACAATTATTTATCTCTCTGACAGGAAGGACAAAATTGTCTCAATCATTGCGCAACACCCATGAGCATTCCTTCATTTCATGAAAAATGTGCAAATGTATCCAGTCTAATGTCCTCTTTTTTAATATAAGAAAGGGATTTTTGATTATTAGGTATTGGTTCCTGAACTATAACAGCAGAAACACAGACAAATGTTGTGAGTTGTCAATGCTTACATGTGATGTAAGTACAAGCTGCATTAACAGTATTATTTTATATGTTTTTTTTTTCTAGAAATTGAAAACTGTGAAATGCAAGGGTCACACAGTCTCATTGTCACATCTCTCATTAAATTCCTAACCATGGTGTGATACAAATGCTTCTGTCAGACAGGATCTCTGTGCGTCCTTTTTGGTGATTGGCTGCACATAAAGACACATGGCAGATAGATACACAGTAAAGGAAGCCTCTAATCTAATGAGAGGAGACAGTAATTCGCTGTTAGTCATTGTCATCTTTCCTGCACATCCGTTAGACTGCCAGCAAAGCACACAAAGTCTAGACACTGTCACACCCCGAGCACGCGACATAATCCACAAGTTTTGCACTAAAACTTTTTTGTATCTCCAAACTGTCTTTTCTTTCGCGGTCTATTTTTATTCCCACATGAGTTATAATGACTTTCTACTTGTGAGTGATCTCAGACATTATAAAGGCGCTAAAAATAAAAATGAATATTTACAAGCAATTGGTATCTGAGCATACTTGTCAACTCACTCATCGTCTTCGATGTCTTTCCCGTTAAGCAGGTTTTTTCCACTTGGTGCGTAATCCCAGAAGTCCTCAATGATCCCCACATAATAAACTCTCTCCCTGCCGCGCTCCCCGTTCGCGCCCAATGAAAGAAGAAAAATCAGCAAACAAGTTGCAAACAACCCCAAGGTCCGTGCCATATTCAGCTGATCGCAGTCTTAAATGCTGGCCAAAGTGATCAGCGGGTTTTGCTGGTACAGGAACAAGTGGTAACCTTTCACTCTTCCATGTGAGTGCGAATGTCCGTCTGGACCGCAGCGCTTACGAAACTCAAAGCAAAAACAGTCAGGCTATTCAGTCAGAGGCTACGCCTCCAGTAGTATCTGATGTGCAGGAATAAGAACCAGTAAGTACTCCCAAGTCAATTATTTTTTTTCTGGATGTAATTGAAGCGGTCTGCTGGGAAATTAGGTTAGTTAGATCCACTACGCAAAAGAGGCAGTGCCAAGCACTGTGGATCTCTAATTTGATTTTTCAGCTTCACAAAAAGCACTTTTGATGTGTGTTTACAGTTTTATTTGTTTCTGATTTTAGATTGATCCTACAGTAGACTGATGAAATAGCAGCCCATACAAATAACTCAATTTTTTTTTACCTTATCTTCCTTTAACGGTTCTAGGTGTTGCCACCAGTGGCGGTTCCAGAATTTTTAAACATAGGGCGGCACAGTGAGGGGCCAAGAACAAGGGAGGGGAACCCCGAGGAAATAAGAATTTTCATGAATGTCAGTGTAGAAAATATTGGGCATGATTTTAGGCTCATGTGCAGCTCTGTTTTCTAATACCGATTTATGAAAAGCCAGCTGCAAGAATCCAAAAATCCTTTTATAACCATAGCTTCTTTACTTTAAGATTACTAAGTTTTAGTGCAATATTATTTAAGTTACTTAATAGTACACAAGTCATATGTTAAGCTACAAATAATATGATGCTGGACTTTAAGCATAGTTAAAATAAGCACCACCTTAAACATCTGCAGCGGTAATATTAATCCATTTAAGGATGACGGGGAACTTTTTTTCTGCAGAGTAATTATTTTTAATTTTGATATTTTATGCAGAAATTTCCAGTATCATAGTTTTACCGTGAACAGTAGACCAAATGCATCTCTCATGTCCTATGTCAGGTCTTTGCAAGATTTTTTTCTTATTTCCTAAGAACATTAGTTTCAGATACTGTTCATGTGCTGTAGGTGATAAAAATACTATTTTATGCCTGTTAAGCTGTGTTATCACTAAAATGTTTGACAGATTTAGTTAAAATAGGAACCAACTATGGTTTTTTGCAAAAAAACAAAAACAAAACACTGTTTCATCCGTTTTTTGCTCGATGATTCATAGGTCAGTGTTAAGTGCATTAAAAATAAAACAAACAAAATAATAATAAGAAAGTCCTCTTAAAATAGTCTTGAATGGTTTTTAACAAGTGGAAATTCTTAAAACCAGCTCATACTGAGCTCATTCCCTTCTACACAACCTTACATTCTCCAACTTGAAATTTTGTGTCGTAATTTAGGAGGCAAGGGTGACACCTGCTGACCTAGTCGGGACAGTACAAGAATATACATGAAGCTTGGTATATGACGTATCTATATGTAGAGGCCAGACTTTAAAACTAACAAGTTTTAGATGATGTGTGGTATTAGTGTTCTATTTAATTTTGTTTTTAAACAAAGAATATCTGCTCTGTAAAATTTGCATCACTCTCCATACTGTACACAGTGCAGTGAGATGCTGTCGATTTGCTGACTACCATGGGACAGGGAACCACGTGATATAAGAGCATGAGTTTAATGGAGGAGATAGAAAATAGAAAAAAGTTGTTATACTGGATATTTTCAGGCATCTCATATTTCTGAAAAGATAAAGATTCAGTTTCCAGTTCATTGGGGGGTTTTGTTGTTGTTGTTGTTGTTGTTTCTTTGGAAAGACTAATAGCAACATGGAATTTCCACAACAATGAAAGTTTGAACATTTCCACTGTGATTATATTGGGATTAATGTTCAGAATGTAAAACAGTCATAAATATATGACAATTTCTTGCATAAATCTGTAAAAAAAATGAGTACTTTTCTATCAAGATATAAGTTTTGATTGATTTTCATAACATTTTCCAGACCGTGTTGATCCAAAGTCCATAGGTGCACAAAGTTGTGCCTCTGTTGGAAAAAAGCAGGCACTTAAAGGAGCAAAAACATATCTCTGCAGTAATTCCATTCTGTGCTTCTAATTTGAAATAGGGTCTTCTCTCAATCTTAATAAAGCTCAATCGAAAATTGAACCATAACTTGTGTGTTTACACTGACGGAAACAAAGAAATTATTCGGCATATCTGGGTTAGTCGCTGGATGCAAGACTTGCTTGTAACAGGCTACCTATAAAAATATCGCAGCTGTTATTGCACCTGTGTAAAGAGGACTCTTCTCCTAACCTTATTGATCAGCACCGGGCGCGTGCACAGCTCATCCTCGTGACCGCGCCCTTTTCAGGGAACGCGCACGGCAGCCTACCACCTTCCTGCTGTCACTGTGCACAGACATGGCTGCTCTCAGCAAAATACCGCATAACTGCTACGAAATCGGCCACACTTGGAGCCCGTCGTGTGTGCAGTCTGCTGCCGATGTGACTAGGAGTGCTCTGGAGGTGTCCTTTAAAATATACGCGCCTCTTTACCTGGTAAGACGTTTGACCTGAAATATAACTGTGGACTTTGACGCTAGCTAAATAGCTAAAGTTAGCGAGCTAACTAAAGTAAAATGGCTTAGTAGTTCGCAGAAAACCTCTAAAGATAGGCTGGCACGTCGCTAGTGTTGCACTTAGGTACGAAGTCCAAGTTGTACATGTGGCCGATCAGATAAAGGAGCAAAAACATGTCATGCAACTTCAGCCAGGTTCCCCTTAGTAAATTTCATTGCCCTCTGGGCACTCGTCACGACTGTAAGTGTAAACTTTAGCAGAGTTGGAACTGTATTTGTCTTGCATCTCCAGTGTGCAGTAACGCACTGTGCTTTGCAGATAGCAGCAGTTCTAAGGAGAAGGAAGAAGGATTACTACTTAAAAAGGCTTATCCCAGAGATCTTTTGGTCTACCTCTTTCCTGACTACCAATGGGGGTCTCTTCATCGTTTTCTTCTGCATTCTCAGGTCAGTGAACCCATGTCGAGAGTATGTAAACACAAACTTAGCACTAAGCTGCACTGTCATTATGTTTATCAATGAAAACAAAAGTGAAATGTTTACAGTATGACATATGGATAAACTGAGCATGAACGGTCATGTTCTGTGAACCACACCTGCTGAAGCTGAAGCCACTTTAGCTTCTTCCACGTGTGGCTTCTTTCCTTTAACCTGTCAGCATCTGAGTGTGTCAGCTTCATGTCCTGGCCACTGTGGTCATGTTTACATTAGGGTCACCCTCTGTGGACATCTCTGATAAAATAAACCCACTATTAACTTTATCGTCTTGTTTGCTAGTTTAAGAAAACATTTCTTTTAAATAATAACTTTGTAAATTTGTGTCCCATTTAGAGTAAAGTAAAAGGTGGCTCTATAGTGTCATGGTTTGACTAATAAGGAAAAGGTCCCTGGACCTTCCAGGAGTAGATACAAATCCCTTGTGTGTTACGTCAGGAAGGCCAATCAAACATACAGAGATATCTGCTTATTCATAAGGAGCTGGCACTGCTGTGGCAACCCCTCGTGGATAAGGGAATTGCAGAAAGTATTGTATGACTACAGTATCAGCTTGGATTGTCTTTGTCTATCGTTTCAATAAGTGCACATTTTAAATACTTGGATAATACTTTCCTTATTATGGAAAAATGGACGACAGAAGAGCTGACAAAATCTCGTGCTGACAGTGTGCGATTGTCTTCACTGAAACGTTCCAGCTGGGGAAAAAAAGGAAGTGAAATAATGCGTGTATTTTAACTGCAGGAGACTTTTGGGAGGCTTCTACTCCTGGTCTGTTGGGTTTGGCTCAGCACTGCCAGCCTCTTATATTGCCATCCTGCTGGAGCGCAAGAGCAGGTGAGATACCCGTCTGTTACGTTTCAGTATGTTTTTTCTCGCCTCTCCTAGATTCAAACATGTTTCATTCACATAGTTTACTTTTTGCCTTTTTGCCTTTCTTTTTCATCCTCACAGGAGAGGGCTGCTGACAATATACATGGCAAATCTTGTAAGGGCTGCTTCTTTCGAATATTAGTAGTTGTATGTGAACCTTTCTATGTGTCTGCATTTTTAATAGCGTAATGTTGTTCTCAGGCCACTGAGACTTTGTTTCGCATGGCAGTGACACGAGGCGTCGTCAAACCCATTAAACATGGCGAGGTAAGGTCAAAGGGTGGGGCTATGAGCTTGTTATCAGGGTTAGGTTTAGAGCATGTAAATTACTGCCAACCTAATTTTTTTAAGACTCTCTCTTGTTTTTGTTGTTGGATTATGAGTCTAATAATGCAACTACAGGGAACTCCAGTTGTGAAAACTGAACAGACTTCAGTAAAAAGTATCAACTGATCCAAAAAGAAGCATTTATGACTTACTTTATAGTACTGACGAGACTGCACAGTGGTGAAATGAGTCATGTGTTTGATTCTTTTTCTCTCTCTGCTTCCCATTAGGTGCTGTTGTTCTGCATTACTTCATCGCTCTTTATGTTCTTCTTCAGGTTAGAGCAGCACAGTGAACACATTGTTGCAAGTATTAATGTTTTAAGTTTAAGCTGAATTTTGTTTTATACTATAGAAGTAAAGATGGTCTCAAAGGCTTTGCATTCTCCGCGTTGAAGTAAGTTGTTCCCGTTTCTATTGATGCCTTCATTTTCACTGCTGATGAAAAAGGTTTATAGATAAAAGTTTATAGAAGTGGTGTGTGTTTTCTGTCTTAGATTCATCATTGGGAAAGAAGAGATCCCAACACACTCTGTGCTGGCTGATGATTCACAGCCATCAGCAGAAAGGCCTGACTCTAGAAGAAAGACTCTTCTATCCTCCACCAGGAAACTGCTCGAATCGATGTGAGAGAAAACACACCCGACAACATGGTAGTGTGTTGGATTGTGGCTTACATGAACTATTTTTCTTTTTCTTTTTTTTTCAAATCCAGATGCAAACGGGGACCAAGACACAGATGTTGCAAACATTATAATGACAACTGCATATCCTACTGTGTCAAAGTAAGTCTCCCTCTTCCCAAGAAGTTAGTTTTTGTGTAATCCCAGTCCTTTGTGATGTTCTCATAATGCTTATTCATTTAC